CCAACTCCAGCGTGAATATCCGAAAATCATGTTCTTTAAGTTATGCACTTCCCTCTTCCTTACTTCGGTTTTTGAAAAATTAATATCGAAATTTTATATTGCTCGACAATATTTAATATTTCCTCAGGTTTTTTCCTGTTTATTTTCTTTTCCAACTAAAATATAAATTTTTGTATTTCTAATTTCGAGAAGTGTTCGTTTATTACACGACATTTTAACATAAAATTCTTTCGTCCAGAAGTTTGCATATAAATTCAAATTTATCTTAAGAATTTTATGTTAAACTAATATAAAAGTCCAGATGGGGCCTTTTCACTGAAAGCTCGCAGAGGACGGGGGCGTTATAGTTTCATGGGGCCCAGGCAAATTCGTATTAGAGGGCCTAGATATTTCTTTTTCAAGGGAATTCTTTTGAGGAAATATTTTCTCATAAAAAATTGATTGAGACCCCAAGCAATTGCCGTTTTTGCCCATAGGATAACGCGCCCCTGCTCTTGGATATTCGTTAAAATTATTCATTCCTGGCATCTCTTGTGTATCAAGAAAAACCGATGTTTTCAACTTTTATTGTTTAGAAAATATAGGCCTAATACATCTTTAAACTCTACTTTTCTTAATATACTGGGGAGGTGTTAAAAATGTAAGTGGCCCAGGCCTTTTACATTTTTAACATCAAAAAGATCTGCCGGAGACAATATTTATATGGCATTTTATTAACTCTTATCGAAAGAAATGTAATACGTTAATCTTCTTTTATCTTTTATAGTAGTTTTTAAACTGGAAAATTCAAAAATACTTACGCACTCGGCGATATAAAATATAAGAAAAGTCGTTTCGACAGCTTAATTATTGATAATTTATTATTTTTCGTATTATTTGTATACAAATTATCTTTTAAAAAAATATTCAAACTTTTTTTGATAGAAGCGTGCATTTTATCTTTCATTACGATAACGAATAAGAGAAAACATTTCTCTTAATTAATTATTTTCTGAAAATAAAATCTTATGTTAAGCTTGATTTAAATATAATCAAAATTAACTATATTAATATATTAAAAGTTTACGTTGAAAGATGTACTGTACTTGCAGATAATTAAACATTTATTTTCAATGTATTAATACACAATATATGTATACTACACGCAATGATTGCATGTTTGTTTCCCTTAATAAATATAAGGTGAATCAAATTTTGAAAATACCGACTTTATGCTTTCATACCCAAAAGTATTTTTAATTAAGCGCATAAATTCTGAAGTTATCTTCTAGTCGAGAATTGTTGAGTTTGTTTTAATATATATTTTAATTAAATTCAATAATAAATATTTCAACTTTTATCTTGGAATCAAATCGCTATCTACGCCTCTTCTAATTTAATATTTATTGTCTTAAATATAGTTTTTTACAGTTTAAAACTATACAGTATTAATTGGACTGGACTACTGTACAAATGGGAGAGGAAATACACAATACATTTCGTTAGTAAGTTTTAAGCACTCGTGCTTCGTAATTTCCGTACAATATTAATAACTAATTAAAGTTATTTACAGTAATTTTGTTTTTCAATTTTGTAACGAATAAACCGCAGGGTAATTCACTTGGAGTTGAACATACTAGTTGGCTTTTCTGTGTACATAACGATTTTTGACCGCTTGTTAGTAAGATAAAATTAATATAATATTAAAAAACGAGTAATTTAAAGGATAAAATTGATTTATTGACTAAATGTAATTCAAAATACAATCGATAAAAGTGATAATAATGACGAATAGTGATAACGAATATCTACATATAAGGAGTAAAATATATTTTGGAAACACGTAACGTGGTCTTTACCACCAATCGTGTCCTCCACCGAAATCTCCATGATGAAGATCAAAGCTGTGATGATGAATTCTATAATAAGACAAAGATTAGGGTCGTCAGAAATCTTCGTTCGCATTGCTAATTTCCGAAATTAATAAATTAGAAAAAGAAATACTTACGGAATAGGAACGGGTTTTTGAGTCTCGACGTGAATAGGAATAGGAATTGGTAAAGGCAAGAAGGTCTTCTTGTGAAGAGCACCGGCTAAAAGCCCGTACTTTAAAAGTTTCTTCAGTTTGATTTTATGGCCAGCTTCCGCTTCTTTAGGGAAAGAAGCAGCCAGGACCAGCAGTAAAAGACCCAAGCAAACGTAATTTTTGTTTGTAGCCATCTATTAGAAAATAAGAAAAGTTAGATAAAGAAGATTCATCCCTACCTTATAATAGCACTTTACCTGTTAGACGTCTTCGATCTTTCTGTCTGGTCCCTTTCTGCACCTCTCATTATATACAGGTGGGGACGTACTCGAGGAATCCCCTAAACTCTCGGTCTAAAAATAGAAACAGTTTACTTCATATTTCGATTGGGGTCACATCAACCTCGGGGAGTCAACTCCGCTGCTCACTCCCGAACACATGGCTGACTATAATGGCTTCGGGCGCTTCTTCTGTGTTAACGTTCTGATAGAAAAGTTAAGAAATGTCAATTATCGTCCGAAAATTTTTGGAAAATACGTCCGACAAAGTTTATTATTGTCTGAACAAACTCGAATACGGTATCTTATGGACGATAATACAAAATTTAAATTTGAATACAGAATCTTATTGGCGCATTGACCCGGCTTTCTGGGCATTTCATCAGCTACATGACGTCATCGAAATAGCGGAATTCCGGTTTTCGAGCCGGCAAAGAGAGTACTTGGCCGACCCATTTTCGCAGTCTGGATCCTCCACTTAACTTTCTCCATAATTCTAAAGTATTTCGAATGTTTACGCTTCTTTTACGTTTTTAAAATATTCCCAGCCAGGTTAATACCTCGTAGGCATTCCTTTCTACGGAAGGAAAACGGTTTTGTGTGCAATTCGCATAGAGAATATAATTAATTTTACGGGAGAAAACTCATAAATTTATTTATCTCCGGGAAATTATGCAAAAAAGAATTATGCTAATGCGACCAAAGAAGCGGAATAAATTCGAGAATTTCTAAAATTACTTTTTTTTTGTATGCTGTCCGTTTCCCGATGAGTTTTTACTTTCCGGATTTTCCTCTAACTTAACTTTCTCGTTTCATCAACAACTTCCCTGTCTACAAATACCAAATTTAGTTGGGAATTCCCGTTTTTTTGTATGATTTTTTAAAAAAGATTTTAACATTTTTCCATTTTAAAAAGTAGGAAAAAATATATAGGCCTATATTAAATATCGAATATTTTTAATTAGTTTGACTTTCTATGTCAAGTCTAGAAACATCTTGTGTAATGACTTACGGTAGTTATAAACTTGACACTATGACCCACATGTTCACTTAAACAAATATTCATCCCGCTGTCTTCAAAAACAGAAAACTACTGAACTGTTTCTTTAAAGTTTTCGCCTACAAATATCTGTTTGATGATGTAAGAAATTAATAATTCGGTTATTTACCTTTATTTATAAAATATCCGTTTATATTTATCTATATTCTGATAACGCTAAAATGATTAATCGTAAGGACAGTGATGAAACGAGTGAGCAGATCGGAGAAATCCCTTAACGAAGTTGATTTTGACCTACTTTCTCGGCTATAAAATCTAAGATCATTGACATCGGAGATTCTTTTTTGATACTCCACCGAATTAACGCTATCGTTATTGTTTAATTTTATCTTCGATTCGACGTAACACCGGTCGAATTTGTAATTAAAATATTGATTCAGAATTTCATCAATAACTGTTCCCGTTTTGAGCATCCTAACGAAGTAAATGAAATTTCCGAACTAATTGCAATTCTCAAAACGAACCGATGTCGTTAAGTTCCTTTTCTTTTTATATTCCACGTATATAAAAATTTTAAATTCGCAACTCATTATGCTAAATTTACAAATAAATTAACGATTAAATGTGGAATCCTCGGTTTAAAGTCATTGTAAAATATGCCTAAAGCCATTTTTTACGATTAGATAATGGGATAAAATATTCCCGTAATCAGTATGTTTAGTTTGGGGATTCGCGGGATACGTAAATAAAGGTATTATTCCCATCTTTACTCCTTTTATATATACGTGTATAATTAATTTTTTTGAAATTTTTAAACACTAAATATTTTGGAGATTCCTCTCTGAAGTGATGATATGCATTTTTTCCAGCCACTTGCCTTTCTTGAAGACCTTGAGATTCCTTATAAACTTTTAAAAATAAATTTTGTTTAAATATTTAATTTTTGGACCCTTTTCTTCGTCAATTCTATCCGATAAAATTGGTCGCATCTCGCGTATTTATTGCCATTACTGAGCAATAAATAAGCAAAGTAGTTAATGACAGATTAATCGAGACATTGAAGGTTCTGAAGGCGTGCGTGACTCATTTGGAATTTTCTTTCTTTAATTAGGTATAATAAAACTTTTTTTCAGATATTCCCACTTTAAAATAAAACTTATAATTTCATTTAAACTAAAAAACATGTACAGTGTATTATTAGATATCAAGAAACTGCTCTTCTAACATTCCATGTATATTAATAGTGTGTGTGTAATATATATATCAATATTAGAGGATTTTTCAAATTGAAAAATTTATATTTATAGCTGCACCGAGGGAATTTTTTTCTCTCAGAAATTATGGAGTATTTTAACTTAAATTGGATCCTTCGATATAAATTAAAATATTCTAAAAGTTAAACTGATTTCGAGTTAATGATACAAGAGATATTTTTATATCATAAGTATTCAATATCCGATTAAAATAACTGCATTTTTGATGTTTCTGCCAATAATATAAAAATGGAATATTCCGTTCTATCGCTTTATTTCTTCAATTTTTATCCGTTATTATCGTCTATATTCTCAAATATCCATCCTATCGCTTTCACAAAATTGCAACTTTTACATCGACGTTATTGGATACTAAAACCATACGACTTCTGTACATTTTTCTAAAAATGACATCTACTATGGATTAAAACTGTCCGGTTAAAAAAAGAAACACTGCACCGTCAAAAGATTAAGAATTAACTTTAATTCAATATTGTCTTCATCTTTACAATTTCATCATTCCGTTCCGATAAGGAAAGTTTTGATTGATACAGTACCGAATTCGTACATGATGAATACATTCAAATTTGATTAAAAACCTTTATGTTGATATATGTATATGCACTACATAATTTTACAACTTGCGGAGTAAAACTAAAAAAATCTCAAAAACGGAACACATTCCGGAAAATAATTATACTATACCAAAACTTTGGTATAAGCAAACTTAAGCTAAAAAAATAGAATAAAAATAATTACGATGAATTTACATTCAATTTCTCGATGCCACAAAATATTTTGAAATCATGTATTTCGGGTAATGTTTGTGGGGAATCGCAAAGGAACATTGGGCGTTCTGAAAGGTACCGACGGACGAAATTCTGGAACAGGATGTCTCATAATCGGTAGTGTGAACCTGATATTTGGCCGAGAGATCGCCGTTGTACCCAAGTAATTATTTATCTCTTGCCGACCGGAAGAATTGTCCTTTGGTACAAAACTATTTAAATAGTCCACGGGTGAAGTCTGTTGCGCCATTTGGACGGGCACCGAAAATTTCCACTGAGGATGTTGCAAAAACTCGGGAGAGGAAACGATTTGGTTGTAAGCTTCTGTAGATACGCGATTCCAGGCTACGTCGGATGTATTGATAGGAGAATTCTTGGAAGCATCTGTGGAAACTTTCTGAGGAATAGTGGGCTTCTTATCACAGTGTAAAGTCACAGGGGAAAATCTGCTTGTCGTCGACGAACATCTTCCTTTTAAATTAAAATCTGCCCATTAAAAATAAAATAAAAATATTACATTACTTAAAACACGAGTGATAAGATCGATTCAAATACCCAACGTCGATAATTTCGCCGAAAAAATTTGACAATTTTCGACAAAATAATTAACGCTGGTTACATAAATTTTTAAACCTTTGATGGTGAAGATTAATTTCTTTAATGAATTTTTGGATAATAGTCGATAAACGGAACGGTAATAGTATAAATTTTCGTACATTAATGTATTGATTAATTAAATATAAAAATTTTCTTTTTATGAAACAGGTAAAACTAGGAAACTTCTATTTTAATATTTCTCTAATTATGTAAACGAAATTGTTGAAAATTTTAATTTTAATAAAAGTTGTCAAAACGTTTCAAATGACAATTGTCTGTTTACACCTACTAAAAATTAAGAAATTGGCCATCTTTTATAGAGAATATCATCTGGATTGTATATATAATTCTAAAAAGATAACTAAACTAATTATATATAAAAGAACAAGGCTTTTAATCGAAATTAAAGCTTATAAAATAAAGAAAACAATAAAACAGAAGTGAATAAAATAATACTGTATAATTTCCTTCCCCTAACCATAATTAATTTAGTTATATGAAATTGTAATTACAATTCCTTAAACATTAAAAATAAACCACCAATCTTTTTCGCTTTGTTTGTTTGTTTTTAAGTTATGGCAACGCAACACATGGGCGATCTGACTAGGGGATGCCTTCCAGGAGGACTTTTTAAGGGAAACTGGTCCCTATTTAGGTGTTACAGACGTGGAGAAAACCCGAAAACTCCACGTGGCCAGCCCGTCCGAGCCAGGCGCGAACCCACGACCGAACGAACTCCCAGTGTTCAGGGTACGAAGGCCACTTGGCCACTGGTGGGCTCAAAATCTTTTTCGCCCTTGATTATTTCTATTGTACAATTCTATAATAAAATTTCCTTACCATTTTTACCAAAAATATTTTCTACTCAAAAGATATTCGTTTTAAATAAAGAATGCAATTAAAGCTGCATTTTATAGCATTATTCTATCTATAAATGAAGATATTTATAGATAATAAAATATATGCTCTCCACCTCAAATTAGTAGTGTGTTATCCCTGTGCATCAAACTTTCCTGCTAGCAATTGAGTCCTCCTGATCAACTATCTAATGGTAACTCCTTTTGGGGGAAAATTTTTGAGTTAAAATAACGTGACTTCCGGTGCAAACTGGACGTTCGTATATAGTTAATCAGGACTTCCCGCCCCTAAGCCTTCCATATCTTGTCTTGCCATTCATCTATCTAACTTCGTTCTCGAGATTAAGGAAGGAGAGACAGACAGACGACAGTAGGAATTTATAGGTCTACAATTTTTTCGAATTGTAAACCTAACTTGTCAAAAACACGTTAAAATTGAAATTAGTGAAAATAATACATTGTAGAAATCAAGACTGATCATTTTCTCTCTCTTTTTTTTATCAGTTTCCAAATTGGAAAAAAATATGCTAATCTTCAATTTAATTATAACTATAATGCATCAAATATAACAACTGTTGGTAGAATCAGATTATTATTACACTTCAATTCCAATTTTAATAACATCAACATTGTTATTTGGTCAAATTTATTTTTTATTAATTTTTACAATTTATTCTTTATATATTGAAGTTTAGAAAATATTTTTGTGCTAAATGTTTGATTCATCTGTACATATTTAAATACAATATTAAAAAAACAATTCAAGCTTCCTAAGTGAAGTATGAACTTAAAATGTATATACTTCAAATAGGTCTTTAACGGTAATTATTCTAACCAGCAAAGCAATATTACTTGTACTTTCCTCCATTTTTCCAGCAGCAATACAGTAATAAGAATAGATAAAGTTCATTAGTCTAATTAATTAAATTATTTCTTATGAAAAATATAAACTATATAACAAGGTAATGTACAGCACAGTACAGGTGAATGAATGTGTTATGTTACAAAATCAAAGTTTTGAGTGAATTGAGATTCAAGTTTTTATTATTTAATTATTTCATTAAGTATGTCCACAAAATAGTATTGTTTAATTTAAATTTCTAGGATTTTTGATGGTGGTATGCGAGAAATGGATATATTATACCTTTTATCTGCTCATCTTCAGTTATAAGTAAACGATTAATTCATTTGCTTTGTTAATAATCAAGTTTCTCATTATTTTATGTATATACAGATGGTTTTGCCATTCAAAATGTTGTCTGTCTCACAAAAAAATATATATAAATGAACACAAAAGTTTGTTTTTACAGAAAAAGATCATAACTTCTAAACTTTGATAAATAAAGTCAAATTATTCTAACAGAATACAGAATGCAGGATTTTTCACATAACTAATTTAGTTACAAATATTTAAATGATTGCAAAATAAATATTAATATAAAGGTTAATTTGATACTAATTCAATTTGAACTTCAAAATAATAATAATAATATATTACCTGAATTATAATTATAGAGGCCTAAGTGATGAGTTTGTTTTATCAGATAAAATTAAAATTTTACTTTTCAATTAATGCTAACTTAAAATCTCTTTATTAAATATAATTATTAAAACAATTTTTATGAATGTAGACTTGCTGTTGTATTAAAAAAATATAATGTGTACATTTGTTTCTATATTTTTCCTTCCTGAAATTTAAAATAGTTAAAAGTAACATTATAAAACTTAATATTGATGCTGTCTTCATTTTTGGTCCATTGATGATTTCAGTAATTTATTTACAATTTAAAAACTCAATATTTTTCAGAAATTTTCTCCTTCAACAAATTATTATATTAATAATTTTCTTATAAATCACAAAATTCAGGAATTTAAGACATGAAAATAAATTTCATAACTTGAATTTGTGAAATAATTGATACAGAATCTTATAACTGACTGAGTGACTAAAAGAATTCATTTTAATTCTATCCATTTTCTTAAACTTAACCTACCAAGGATTTTAAAGTACAGGGTGTTTCAAAAAGAATCATCTGATTTAAAAAAAACCATAACTATTCAGCTTTTAATCTGTTTTGATCAAACAATGTACTGTTAAATAGAGGAAATTCTCAAGTTTTACGTGGTTGCCGATTGGCAGCACTGTGCACTTCATTCACCTGTCACTTCCATATTTTCAAGATGGCGACTGGACAACAGAAATCATTGTGTGTTCTACACATTGTGAAGTGTGCTTTCTTAATTACCTACTGTTCAGCATGATTTTTGTCAACAATATGGTGTTGAACCACCTACTGTCCAGAGCATTAGGATTAGATTCCTCAATGATGGATCAGCTGTATGATTCCCAATGATTCAACTTTACATAAAATCTGTCTCCTAGGTCGCCAGATCTCACTGTTTGCAATTTTTTCTAAAAAAAACTCAGTTTATGTGCCTCCTCTTCCAGCTACAGTGGTTGAACTTCAAAACCACATAACAGCAGCAGTGGATCCAGACATGCTTGCAAAAGTTTGGAACGAATTTCACTACCATTTGGACATATGCCATGCATCCAAAGGGGGCATATTGAGCACCTATGATTTAGTATGTAAAAAACTTCTAGATTAGCCCTGTAATATAAAATTAATCTTAAGTGTGTATTACTTTTCATAATATAATCATTTTAAATCGGTTGATTCTTTTTGAAACACCCTGTATTTTAAAGCACTCAGATTTTAATGAAACACCCTGTATTTTAAAGCACTCAGATTGTTCAATGACCTTGAATGAATGTCAAACGAGGTACACGACAGCCCTTTAGGTTAGTATTGCAATTTTTAGGAAATAAAGATTCAAGAAGGAAGGAGAATATCGATATTGTATTTATTATATTTAATAGAAAAAAAGTAAGGTAATTTACCCTTTTCCATTTTCACAGCTTTTATTTTTGTCCCAAGTAACTGTAATCCTTCCTCAATATTCTTCACTTCTTCGACATACTCTTCTTTACTTCCATCTTCGACCATTTTTTGTATAATTCGTTTCCTTAAAATTTTAAATTATTAATAAACAAATAACAACAAAAAATTATTTTTGCCTAAATAATTATAATTTTTTCCTCTTATTGAAAATTATTCCAGAACATCTGTTAAAATAAAAATAGTTTTGTTCAAGTAATTTCAATAGACCCGAAATTCTTTATAAATCTTGTTTGATACATTATAAACTGAATGTGCTTAGAAAATTTTTCACTGGCTCCAACCTTTTCATTTTCTCATTAATTCATTTACTTTTGTAATACTCCTAAAAATGTCTTTCATACTAATGATTAAATTATATACATAGATATATTAAAACATGTTTAAAATTTCAATGTATATACTGATATATTAATGTGTTATGTAGTCAATTGAGTTAACACATTATTCTATATAAAGTGATCCTACTCAAATGATTAGAACCATTTGTGTTAAAAATTTGTGCCATTTCAAACTGTAATACTGTCTTATTCAAACATCATGTGATCTATAATGAATAAGATTCATATGACACAAAAGAAATTGTTTAAAAAAAATCTACTACTACTACTACTTTCATAAATAAAATTATTAAATTATTTTTCACTTATTTTCAAAACTTACAAGATCATATGGTCAATCAGTAAGAACAATAAAGAGTGAAATAAATGTAACCAATAAAAGAATTCATTTGATCTAAATACTTTTATAATTTAATGACTACTTTCTATAATTATAAAATTTATTAGATGAATTAACTTTAACTTTTGTTCAAATTCTAATTCTTAAAAAAATAATTCTTACAAAGTTTATTGTGAGAATTATTCTGTATCAGTAATTATCTGTAAACCTGAAAGTAAGCTTATAAATAAATAGATAAAAATATGATTATATTGATCTTTATCTAAGGTTATTTTCACAAACTTGTCTTTAGATAAAGCAAACCAAAATTACCACTTTAAAAATACCCTACAGAAATATTTGCTTAAAATGTACAAAATGAAAACATTAACATAAAAGTCGGCTTTTGTTGCATTTTTAATTATAAAAATCTAGAACTTTAATAAAAAAAAAGTTATACACAAAAGTTTTAGTGTTCTTAAAATAACAAAAATGGCAATTCACAAAAAGAACCTTGTAGGCTACTTCTAAAGCCTAGAGTTATAATCCTTGTAGTCTTTTGTCTTTCTTGTTTTATTTAATTTTCTAGATTTTTGTAATTAAGTTCAGTGTATAACATTTATAATTCAAATACTATTTATGCAAATAACAAATATTTTATATTAGTTGTAATTAAAAAAAAATGAGATAGAAATTCTAGATACCTTTTATTATGTTCATATTGGTGAATTTCTACCAACTGATCTTCAGATAAATTCTGTAAAATTTTTAATAAGTTAAATACAATTACAATTTAAGAAATACAATGGAGCTCAGGTTTAAAGTCTTCTGATCATATTTCAACATATAAGTTGAATGTGTGTTGAAATAATACAAAAGTTTAATTTGTATCTAAAAATTATTATTAATTATAATTCATTCTTTAATATTTTAATCAATTTTGAATAACATTTATTTCTTGATCAAAACTTTAATGAAATTCATTACAAATTGAATTAAATTAATATGATTTTTCTACATTTCTTAAGTTATAGTAAGGCCAATAAAATCTCTCTGCTTCTTATGAGTTAGAATTATGTTATATTTTTCAAATTTTTTTAATAGTATATTAAATTTAAATGAAAATATACAAATATAATTTATTAGAAAAACCAATAATAATAATAATAATAAAAAGCTTTCATTTTTTAAAAGACAGGATTTTTATTCTCATTTAACTTTTTAAACTAAATTAATTAAAGTTAAACAATTTGTAAATTATTTATTGCTATATTATTTAACCATTAAATTTATTTGTTCAGTTGTGTGATCACAGTAACAAGTTGAATTAACCAATACGAAATTTCAAACTATTATGCAATCTAGTAAATTCAGCATTATTATTTATATATTTGAATCACTAATTAATTAATACTATTAACTAATGTCTAACATTAAAAGTGTACTTTTTTGGACACTACCATTATTAAATCTATCAAATTGAGATGTATAAACTAATTAAAAATAAATAAAGGAATAAACTTACCGACGAGTTGTTTTTGAAATAAAAATACGTTATTTCTAACTCAATACTTTTTACTAGTTCCCTGGAAGGATGCTTCAATCTCAACAAAATTTCAGGCAAACTTTAAAATAAATTTTATATATAAATGAATTGAAATAAGGTATAATAACGTAATAACTTATAAACAATTATTTCAAATAAATTAAAAATTAATTAATTTCAGATTAATTCAGAATTGTATTTCCCAGCGTCATCTGCAATCCGACACCAGTTCATAAACTTCAAAATTAAAAAGAAGTGAAAAAGTAATATTTTCTAATAAAAATAAATTTAATGTTTTAAAAAGTATTATTCTTTAAACAAAATATATTATATAATGATGAACAACAACCATACTTTAAACAATGATAATTAAAATGGGAATTGTCACGTCAATGTAATATATTTGAAATGATCCTCAAAAAAGATTATTTAAACTATTGGTCCCTAGGAGGGAGATTGATTTAACCCCTATATCAATGGATATACAGTCGACCCCCCTATAATGTGGATTCTATAACGGAGATTCCCATAACATAGCAAAAAAATTGCGACAATATTCGTATAAGGACGCTAAAAGGGACTCGTAAAACATCATCACCGACTCGTGTCGTGACAGGATTGGTCGAATCTGGACTAATAGTGGACGAGCAGCCAAACTACTTTCTGCCATCCAGCGCGATGCTATGGAGAGTTTAGGCGAGTAAGTTGAGTTTACTATCGTCTGTACAGTATGTAAATTAGGTACCGTAAGTCTAATACATCACTAATTTTATACATTTCTTGTGAAAGAAACATTTCTTATTCAACGGCCATAAAAATTATTTATATTAATGATGTCTCCAAAGTTCAACGAAGTTTTCGCAGAAAAATAACTTATCAGAAATCGCGGCCGCCGTTTGGTGCACTGCTCTGCGACGAAAACAAGCTTAAGCATTGGCTTAGTCGAACGGTGCACACTCAGTAAGTCATCCTACAATTTCTTGTTTATAGAGTCATTTATACAGATTATTCCCAAAAAATTATATGTGTTTTGGAAATGTTGAGTCAAATTAGTCTAGAATTGATTAATTTTATGGAAGAAAACCTTTCAAACAGCCATAGTCCATAAACTTCACACGTGTCGGGCTGCGATTGGCTCATGTATTTAAGGATTCCTACAACGTGAAATTCGAACAACGTGGAACATATCTAAGCATTATAGGAGGGTCTACTGTACATTATTATTGTTTAATTCACATCACATTGTTTTGATTACAAAACAAATAGTAAAATAATTTTTATGTTAAAATAATAACAAGCGAATATAATAAACAGAGCATTCCCAAGTAAAAAATCAAATAAATTCAGAGATAATTAAGTAATGATATTATAAGTATTGATATTAATTCACGTTCTTGTTAACTTAATGCTAATTCAAACAATATAATATAAAATGTAAATATTTAAATATTCATTAAATGAAAATCAATATATAGTAACACATCTATCCCTAGCTTAATGACTACTTTTAAAAGTTGTTAGATGAGCAATCAATAAAAATGATAGTTCAACATTATGATTTTAAAAAACATACAGTATTTGCTAAAACTGGGAATGTGCTCTTCAATCTATTCATATGCATAATTTCTACATTTTAAAGCATTGTCCAGCCAAATTCAAATCGGCTTGCTTAAGTCTTCTTAGTGCCCACAGGGCAGGAGGAAAAAAAGATCTATGAGAAAGCAAACACAGTTCCATCTTGAATTTATTTAACCCAAATATGATTCCAATTCTACAAATACACTGAGTGGCCAAAAAAGACATACCCCTTATCAGTCTGACAGTGATGTAGAGTGACATAATAACGCAGAGTTATTTATATAAGGTATGCTCAGCTTCAGATGGCGTAGTTATCATAGAAGTTAATGTCAAAATGGGTAAGATAAAAGATTTAAATGACTTTGAATGAGGAATGATCATCAGTGCAAGAAGAGCTGGTGTCAGCATCTCTGAAACGATGACTCTTTTAATATTTTCTCACCCAACAGTATCTCGGGTATTTAGAGAGGGGCAGTTGAGAAAAAAAAAACTTCAAGCGATAAGGACAATTCTGGTTAAAAAAGGCTGGAGAATGAGGTGAAAGGCGATTAGCACGCATAGTCTGCAGCAACAGAAGGGCAACAACACGACAAATTACAGCTGAATTCAATGCAGGTGCATCACAAAGCATATCCCAATGCACAACAAAACACACTTTGCAAAGGATGGTATCCTGCTGCTAAACAGCAGGAGACCATCAAGAGTGCCTTTGGTATCACAGAAAAAGGCAGCCGTTGTGGGCCCAGGAATGACAAAATTGGCACTTGAGGACTGGAAAAAAGTAGTCTGGTCCGATGAATCTCATTTCCTGCTCCATCATGCAGACGGCATGATCAGAATACAGTGCAAACAGCACAAATTCGTGGACCCCCTCCTGCCAAATGACAACTCTTCAGACTGGTGGCAGTGGAATTATGGTGTGTGGAATGTTTTCCTGGAGTACACTAGGTCCCTTGATATTTGTGGACACATCTCTGAATAGAACAGCTTACCTCAACATCGTTGCCAATCACATACGCTTGTTTATGACTATAATGTTCCCTGATGGAGATGGTTACTTTCAGCAGAATAATGCACCTTGTCACCGTGCTTGATTGGTCTCAAATTGGTTTGAGGAGCATCAATCATAGTTTAACCTGCTTCCATGGCCAGCTCAGTCCCGACCTCAATCTTACAGAGCATTTGTGGGACAAAGTCAAAAGTTCACTTCAAAGCTTGGAAATGCCACCATCCAATCTGACCCAACTTAGAGCTGCCATTATGTTAGCATGAGCCAACTTTCTTCAGCAATGGTATTGGCAACTTGTTGAGTCCATACCAAGAAGAATATCGGCTGTGATCAGAGCTAAAGGTGAACCAACTCGTTATTAGAGGGTGTCTCTAATTTTTTGGCCACTAAGTGTATATCAGTCTTTTCTTTCACTTCAGGAATTTTTAGTGAAAAGTATCAAGCATATCTGATTCAGACATAAAACTAGTAGATAGATCATTTGCTTTTATGAAGGATCAAAGAACAGAATTTGCATTATTTTATTAAGATCAGTTATAAAATATCTAAAATTTAGATGTAAATGGTAAAAGTTATACATTAAATTTATAGACTCAGAAAAAGCCATTGATTTCAATTGGAAAACTTTGCAATGAATTAATTAAAAAATAAATTTAGTCTTAAATTCATTAAAAAATAAAAAATATATATAGTTTATTTGGTAAACACAAGGTAATTATTAAATTGAATACCTTCCAGTGTAAACCAATGAATATAAAGAGAGGTCTCCTATAAGGAGACACTATCTATTCATCTATTTACTTTATGATTTGTGGTTTGGACTCTGGATTTATTCTAGATAAAAATGGAATTAAAATTAATAATCAAATTATTCATGATACAATGTGCACAGACAACATTGTAATAATAGTACTAAGATAGCTCTTCAAAGGAAAATTAAGTTAGTTGAAGTTATTGTAAAGAGAATGGGTTAAAAATTAATCCACCAAAATCAAAAATAACAATCTTCTATCAGGGAGGAAGATCAGCTGAGAAGGAAAAAATTTTTACTTGGAAAGAATAGCGCTGGAGATTGTGTCACAATTTAAATATTTGGTTCTTTTATTTATGCCCAATCTCTCCTTTAGCAAACATTTTAAAGAGTAGAAAATCCTTGTAAGACAATTTATAGCTAATTTAAAAAATATCAAAAGCTGAACAAGATATCAAATTTTCACATTCATTTCAAACTGTTCAGGTCTATTATTCTTACTTCAACATTTTATGCAACTCCTATTTGAATATCATATTTTATGGATAAAGAAGAGATTATACAATTACAATATATTAGAGAATTATTTTGGTTAAAATGTAATATACTGTAAGGTCTCTTTTTATGCGGATTATTTTTATGCGATTTTGAAGTTGTGCGGTTTGTATTTCATCCCAAAATTTCTTGAACAAACACATATAGGCTTGTTTAGGAAGCCTGCGTATAGAGTCTCCAAAAATCGTGGAACGCTCAAAGCTCACTCCATTTGTTCCACTGACATATAACGTTTATGGATGTAAAGGACAGCTATATCTACCTTAATCGCTTTAGTTCCTAGCAATTTTTGATATAAATGTAAACATTAAAAAAATACTTAAAACTGAAAAAAAACGAAAGAAATGCGTTAATTTTGAAGAAAAAGCTTCAAAGTTTAACTTCCTTTGTCTCGCCCTTCTGTGAAATTTAACACCGATGAGTCATTGTTTACACATCTGGATGACCTTGAACACAGCTGGAGTTGGATTTCCCCGGGGCATTCTTATAGACGTTGCGGGAGGACAAGGGTTTAAAGTAGGGTGAACACTAGCTGGCCATATGTTTTTAAATATTTTTAAAAAATTTGGAGACTTAAAAAACATTCCAAAAATTCAAAAAAAAAATTTCAAAAATGGCCTTAAGGACCGTGTTTTATGTAACGCTATGTAACCTGCCCGAGTCAACTCGGGCGAGGAACTAAAGGGGATTTAACTCTTCACATCCAGATGTCAGTGATTTGTTTTTAGAGTGAGCTTTTGCAATTCGGGGATTCCCCTTGTACATGATACCATCGACAAGTCGCTATTACATCATTCTGAGTTTCGCATTGAAAGGTATAAACTGTAATTGTTTTGAAATTAAATTTTATTCTAGCGGTGTTTTGTTCATTTTTATAATAAGTAGCGAGTTTAAATTTTGCTGATTTCAAGTTGCAGTAATAAGCAACACATTTTGATTTCTGGATTGAAACGTTTTTTATGCGGTTTTAAGTTAATTTTAACTCGTTGTTTTGATTTTATGCGATTTTAGAAAATTACGGAACGTATCCCTACTTTTTCAAGGCAAGTAAAGTCTTTTTTTATGCTAATTTTTTATATGCGCTTTTCTGTAGAATGTATCCAACGCATAAAACGAGACCCTACAGTACCTGGATAGACTATCTGTCACAAACTTAAAAAGCATAACATTAATTTTGAATGTCCTAAGTGCCTGTTGTTAGTCTTTAGAATTAATAATTCAAAGAGTGAAATAATACAAAATATCTGGTCAAAAACAAAATTAAGAAAACTTGGTTCCCAGATATATGGGATATGTTAAATAAATATTGAATTTTGTTGCAAGTATCCATTTTACATGAGAAGATAAAAAATTTTTAACAAAAAATTACTAACTGACACAGTAACCAAACAATCATTAAACATGAATGAAAAAGCTGTCAATGATTCTCAATTTTATTATTGGTTTAAGTGTACAATAAAATATCCTATAGAAACTGATTGTATTGTATGTATAAGCAGTTTAGATTTGATATAAATAAAGTCTACATATAAATGAGATTAAATGCCAGGTATCTAGTAATTAAAAAAAACTTCTTGCTGACTGAAGGAAATTTATGTGCATTAAGTTAAAGGAATTGAGAATAGAAAAAAAAATTATTATTTTTGGAAGAAATTAATATAAAGAAAGAACTCTATGTTTTGTTTAAAGAAGAAACAACATTTGAAGTTATATAATTACTAGCTTACCCGTCGTGCATTGCTGCGATCTCAGAAGAAACGAAATTCAAGCAAACTCGCTATGATAAAATTCAATTTACAATTTATCATTTTTATTGAAACTTATTATTCATTTTCATCAGAAAAACATTTCAAAATGTCGTTTCAATTCTATTTATTTATTGGAGTGCTTGTAGATACATGATATTTTTTGTTTTTCTGTCTGGTGCGTACACGAATAAATCAGAAGGTTTCCGATGCGTGAGCAGGCCACATACAGTTGTCCATGCGAGAAGCACAGATTCTCTAAATTTAGCACATACACTTGCAGCGATTGTCAGAAGTGCGATATTCCCCATTTACCTATATATATATTTTTTAATCCTTTATAATTTTAATTATTTAATTGCTCCTTCCTCTCTTCCTTGGCATATTGTGAAATTTCTGATAGTTGGATAATAAACCGTTTTATTGTAATTTGTCTTTTTAAATTATTTTGAGTTGATATTAAAATTTGGAAAAGGGGGGATATCTAGATCAGTAAAATAGGTGAATTTCTTCCTACAACTTCAGTTGTTGTTCGGGGTACAGTTAAGGTTTTAACGAAGTTCGAGCAAATACATAATTAGCAAAAAAAAGTTGAAATAAAGTGATTAAACAAAAATTATTACAAATATCGTAAATAACAGTTCACAAATGCATATATAGAGATATTTTTTGGAGGAGGGAAATGGTCTTCACAATTTGAAATCGATCGAACACACAGTGCTCAAATGCTCGTGTAAATGCGCGCCATCTATCGTAGGATAAATGCCAGAAACCTTTGCGGGAGTGTATTAAAAAACTTCCCAAAGCTTCATGGCAATCGTACTACACCAGAAACCTTCACCGGAGTATATTAAACAACTTCTCAAAGTTTCACGGCAATCAGATAAACGGTGTGGTAATGCATGAAGGACACAGACACACACACACACACATTCATTTATATATATATATATATATATAGATTTAAATTCAGTAATTCTGTATCAGAAAAAGAGAAGTCTAATTTTGACTGATTATAAAACTTATTACAGCAAGCTTGCCAATTCAAACTGGAAATTTGAATATTTTCATGTTAATTCAAGATTTTGTTCGTGTTCTAAATTACTATCATACAGGATAAGTCAAAAGTCCCTGATGCCAGATTTCAAAAATTTCTGGTGGCTGTTTTGATGCAAAGAAAAAGTTTACATATCAAAATTATGTTTCCTTATTCACTGGGCTTTGAAAACACTAACAAATATGATGTTGGAAGTGTCCACCATGTTCATGCAAGCACAAAAAACACATTGTAACATGTCTGTAGCCATGATTCTTAGCTTGACTGGAAAAATGTTATTGATGGTAGCAGAAATGTCCCTTTTCAACAAGGACAATGTCTCTCAGATTAACCCTGTACACATATTTCTTCAAATAACTCCAAAGAAAGAAATTGGATAATGAGAAATCATGCAATTTATTCCAAACCATCCAAAATTGTGATTTCTCATCACAATTTTCAAGGGTTTCCCCATTTAAAAATTGTGCATTCTCCAAAGAAAAAAAAAACAGAAGTTCATCGTGGCTGAAATTTTGTTTTTTTTTTTCTGTGGCTGAACTGTCGTCATATAACATGTCACTCCATGCTGGAATCAGGCATTATGTTCATCCTTTCCAAGCAATGAAATGAACTGTTGAATGGTTTCTTGATACAGCTCACTATTCAGTGTTGTTTCAAAAGAAATTGGTCCCACCAGTCTTCTCTGAGAGACTGCACATCATATCCTTAATTTTTGGGAAGGCAAGGAAAATTTGTGTAGGATGCACAAATTGGAGGTGGTCCAATATCGGGTGTTCTGTGAATTCACATAACCAATTAAACAAAATCATGCTTCATCAGTGAAAACTATGTTGTTGAACACTTCATGTCTGTGCAAGGAGACAGTGATGTTTGGCGTGAATTGAAATTTGTCTTTTGCAGAACTAATTTAAATGAATAGGAGCATTGTTATAGTCTTTACATGTTCTGAAAGATGTGAGGAAGGCAATGATTTTAGAAATCCATAGGACATGTTAACATCACCAACATAAGAAAATATTAAAATCAGAGTTTGGAGACTTTTGGGTCACTCTGTATTATTAACACACTGATTACTTTTTATTTTGTATTTCTTTCTATAATAGAAGAAAAATCCTTTATACGATAATAAAGGAATTATTATTATTATGTATTTATATAATATATATTACAAATTTATTCTAATTACAATTGTTCTATTGAAATACTGCAATAAAATATATATATAACTTATAGAAGTTATCAAAACTAAATACGCAATAAAAATAATAACAATAATTTCTAACCTTATTACAACTTTTTTATTTTTTATAAAATACATAAATTAACTTACTGTTCAAGTGGATACAAGATAATAAATAATGCTTTTTTCATTCCTCTTACTTTACACCTAAAAATAAATTTAATAAAAGTTTAATGCATTTTATGTAATTTTTCAACATAATAACTGAAAAATTAAATAAAGTGAAAAGACTAGACAAAGCATCAAGCTAATAGATATAAATTATATATTAAATAAAGTATAAAATAGAATTCTACATTTAATTAATTTTAAGTTTTAGTAAAAATTCTGTAATTTAGAAGAAAACAAAATCACGATGTTATTGAAGGAAAAAGAAATTAAGTGTTCAACTATAACAAATGGCAAATGAAATAAAATTGTTATTTTGTACTAGAGAGGATCATACCTTTCTAATTCTTGAAATAAATTATTGCATTGAGTTCTTTCAACAATATGAGATGGAATACACAAATTTTTTGCATACAACTATAAAAACACAAAAATTTTATATGTAAAAATTTATTGAAACTGTAAATTTATTATTTTCTATTAACAATTAAATCATGTTTCTTACCATTTTTTCTAAGCGTTCTTTGGTTTGAAACAGAGATTCAATATCACCATTACACACGTATGGCTTCTGATGGCAATTTATAATATGAAGTTTATAATTTTCTATAAAAGTAACCCTAAAATAAAACATTAACACAATTCCTGTAGTTAAAATAAATTTTTAACAAAAACTCCTCATCATTATTCTTTTATAAATTTTATTGTGCATATTGAACATGGCAGTGTGAATAGTTTATTAATTAAAATTGGCATATATACCTTGTAACGGTAAGATCTTCATCTTCAGAAGCTTCACACAGTTTATCATAAAATTCTTCTCCTTCTTCAAAAATTTCACTGTATTTAAAAAATTACACTTTTTAAGAAAATATAAATAGAAACATGCAATCATTTATTGTGATATCATCACAATGCCAGGCTGCAATTTTTAATTTATTTAACTTAAAATATATGCTCTCCACCTGAAATTAGTAGTGGCTTGTCACTGTACATACTTTTCCTTTAACAATAGTGTAGTGCCAGTCATCTATTAACTACGTTCAGGGAAAAGTTTTAAATTGAAATAACGTGACTTCCGGTTTGCATTAAAAGTTTGTATATAGTTAATTGGGGCCTTCTGCTCCTAAGCTTTTCCATATCTAGTCTCGTCTTTCATCTAGCTAACTCCGTTCTCAAGATTAAGGAAAGGCAGACGGACAGGCAACAGTACAACTTTATAGGTCTACAATTTTTTCAAACTGTAGCCCAATCAGGACTTTTGCATATGGAATTAGCAAATGAATTTCTTAATCATTTATTTTTTACATTTATATAAATTATTTATGCATTTAATCAATATATATTATAAAGGTAAGTGTACAATGCGCGTGCCACTAGAACTCAAAAACGAGTCCTGGTATGATCAAGGGAGTTATATGGTGTGGTAGCCCCCTCTATCCCCATCCATGAAGAAGGTTCCTGTTTTTACCTAAAGGGTTTGCTGTTGAAGATATAAGGGCTGGAAATTTTGCCCTCTGGAAATTTCTAGAACAATCCAGAACATTCGAGAGCATTCCACAACATTCCAGAATGTTCTGCAACATTCAGGAACATCCTGGAACATTCCAGAACACTCAAATGTTGTGGAATGTTCTGGAACATTGTGACCATTCGAAGACTTTTTGTATGGGTGGGACTACCCATTGGTGGGAGTATATAAAGCAAGATCCATCATGGGTTCAAACATCAGTTACTTATCAGTGAGGAAGGGAAGAACCAAAAAAGAAGTGAAAATTCAAAAGAAGTGCAGTGAGTGAATAAAAACAAACAGTGAAGTGTGAGTAGTCAAAGTGATACAGTGACTGAATATAAATCGAAAATAAAGTGTGAAAACTGTGTAAAGTGTACTTAGTGTATTTGTTAATAAAAAGTTGATTTGATTTATATTTTATACAATGCCAAAACTTAAAAGAGGAGGAGCTCTTGCCAGTTCTGAATTTTCTTTTGAATATTAAAGTTGATATCGTTGACAATATTATTTTTAGTTGCCAAAATTACCCTTTGAAATAGCCACTCCGGATTGGTATAATTGTGAACAATGTTTGGATAAATTTGGTCGATGAGTTCGTTTTCAGTAGTGGCTATGTTGCAAAAATCACTATTGCGTTCAATGAAGCCGGTCGTCTGGTCAGTGGGATGTGTGCCTTCACCTATTTGTAAAAGTTTTTGAGCAAAATGTTGTTTATAAACAAGTATTGTAAATAGTTAGAATATGTTTTCAATAAAATTTTTTTACCTCTTATATTTTAAAGTTTATCCTTTTATTCCAACTACCACAATCTCATATCAACTCCCTGACCGAAGCTGGGTACCCCAGCTAGTTTAAAATAATTCAAAGATTAACCACACATATCTAAACTACTTTCTTTTCTTCGATTTTATATTTTTTCCAATGGATTAATTCACTTGACAAATACATTTTCATTTATGCACATTTAAACAAAACTTTATTTTTTTGTTATTGTTCTTATAATAATTAATAAATATAAAATATTAAGTTAGTTTTATCCACTGATTAAAACTTTACTTTCAAATAATTACTGTATATTTTGACAACATTTGATACTCTGCTAAAATTCTGTTCCTGTAATATAAAAAAGTTTAAACACTCCAATTTTTTATCATATTGTTTTTATGTAATTTAATTTTAACAAATATTATTCTAAAACTTATAAGCATGGTAAGTTATTTAATTAACTTATTAATAATTTCTGCAAATAAATAACTTATTATTTTCATATAAAATAACATTTGACTTTAGTTATAATTTTATTTCATGTAAATAGTGTAACAGACTCAGATTTCTGCTAAGCCAACGTACTGAGCTATATAAAAGAACATCATTGTATTGACTACCCACTTCCTCTAAAAGACTTTTAAATTTTCTGTGATTCAGTTCTCGTGCTCAGATATAATTCACTATATTTATGACAGTTTTCATCACAGTATCTACTTCAGGATTAGCAATACGTGAAGCCAAGTTTTCCCAATGAATGATGCAATGAAATGTTATTAGATTTGTCAAATCATAATTCTGTTACAATAGAGAAATAAATCCATTTTCAGATCCAGTCGTTGAAGGACAGACATCGGTACACACACAAACTAATTTTTTTATATCTATCTTGTTCTGTTCTAGAAAATTGCAAATAGTATTGAGATAATCTTTCCCTTGGTCTGGCCCTTCATTGGAAGGAATTTCAAAAAATCTTCAAAAATTGAATTTTGTTCTGTACAATATCTAACAAAAACTGAGCATTGTGATGTTTCTGAAATATCCATGCTAGAGTCAAAAGCTAAACTAAAAAACTTGCAGTTTTTCAAATCTTCAATTATGTTATCACAAATATGGTTTGCAATATCTTCAATACGTCTAACACTGGTAGAATCTGAAAGCTGAATTTTTTTTTATTTCCAAAATTTAATTCTTGTTACCGAATTTATCAAACAGTACATTGGAAGTGCTTAAAAAGTATTCCTCCACAATTTCAGCATCAGTAACGGTTTCATATGTTTACCAAGTATATAACAAATTTCATATAATGCTTTTGTTGCAGCTGCATCTTGTGCTATTGCCACAGACATAATATTTTGTTGATGTTGCAATGACTTTTTAAAAATAACCAATTTCTCGTGTCTTATGAGAGATCCTGGAAGAAAAGTATCATTGAACAATTTGTGTTTAGTGTTAAAATGATGAGCAATATTATATTTTTTTAATATAACACTTTCACGACAGATCAAACAAGTTGCTAAACCATGTTTGTTTTGCACTACAAAATAGTTAGCTTCCCATTTGTCTTGAAACAATCTATTTTCGTCAGACATTTTTCATTTGTATTTGGAAGACACTCCTGACATAGTTGAAAATAATTATAAATTACAGTTTCTCAAATAAAATGTTCACTAATTCAGTGTGATTTTTTGTTTACTCAATTATAACTCTTAAGGTACTTAACCACTCAACAGTGAGGGACAGATATATCCATCCAGGGCGATCGTGTGGCAATGGTGAGGGACAAATATATCTGTTAAATTCTTTTGCAGGTATCGTCAAAAACTACTGCAAAAAAAAATTCACATAAAAAATGAATTATGTAACAATAAAAAAAGACTTTTCTTTACTAGACATAACTGTTTACAAAATCTTTTTCCGAAACAGTAATGAGAAAAAAAACGTGTGGAAAAATACTTCAAAAAATTTCCCACGTTTATTCTCCATTACTTTGGGGTAGCATCATACCTGACTATCCCACTGCTGAAAGGTTAACAATTACAGAGTTGCACGACACAAGCAAAACAAACAAGATATGACCTGTTATGACTTATGATTTTAATATCGTGTGTAGGTGCAATGGGTCTCAGTAAATTATTATGTCTAGCCTGTCCCTTGTGGATCGCTGCCTGATGGCCACCACATGTTCACAATGCTCGGACATCTGGTGACGACAACTTTCTAAGAAAGGAAAAAAGAGACTTAGTGGTGTGGGTGGAGTGACCAAATCTATTTTTTGCCGTGAAAATTTCAAAATTTATATTTTGACTGCATTATTTATGGGTCACGTCTGGGCCAGTCACAAAAGCTCAGCGGGCTGCAGGTTGAGTATGGTGAGTCTAAATATACAAAAATAACAACTTACCCAATATTCTCATTACTATTTCTCTTTTTAAACGAAAAAGAAGTTGAATCGGTTGGCGTTGGTTCACTGGAAAGGCTTTGTTGAGAATAAGTTGGTGAATGATTTCCATTTTCTAGATTATTATGATCAGAATGTTGAGAATTCAACTTATAATCTTCAATTGAATTTAAATAAGACTGAATGTTTTTTTCGGAATCTACAGGATCCAAATTTTTCAGATGTTGGAGAGACAAATAATTATTTTTGAGATCCCGTAGAGTTATGTTAGCCAATGAAAAGTCTTCTGATTTGTCCTGTAAATAAAATATTAATATATTTAATTTTGGAGAATAATGCAAATTTTTTTAATATAAAGACTATATATTTCTATGGATATATCTATATATAAATACCCTTCTATGTTTTCATTATTTTTGCATTTTGAGAAATATCATTCTATTAAAAAACAGCAAATAATAATCTTTAATTATTATTATACAAAATGGAGACACTCTTTCTACAAACATGCACTAGTTGCGAGATTTGAGCATGTGTTTCTCATTGGAAAGTCAGAAATGTAAATGTTGCAAAATCAAATTTTGACAAATGAATCTTTGAAAAAAACTATTTACCATTTACAAAAACCTGTGTTATTCCCAACATATCTCTGGTTACAATGTGCTGACCTTGACTGGTTGACCAAGATATTTTTGACCCAATTTTTGAAATTAGTAGGCACTAGTCGTTATAATATAAGTTTGTATTAAAACTAACTTCCGAAATATAATTTTTTTTCTTTTTACATATTTAATAATATATAAATATATATATATATATTATTTTGTTTGTGCAAAATAAAAAAAAATAATTTTGGACAATACAATAGCCATGATTATTCTGTTTCAAAAATGGAAACTTTTCCTTAGGCATCAACAAAAATTCAACCTGGGATAACATGGAACAGAGAGAAATTTTGATATTGGATAGGTTAATTTCACTGAAAATGCATCATGGACAACCTCATGGTCATGGCTGGCAAAGTTTGAACAATTGTGTTCAAAACCAGCAATACCAAAGATTAGAAAATGAGAACAAGACCCGTTCTGAGTGTCGAAGTGATCCTGCTTAGTAGTAAGTCTCTGAGACAGTCTTATGCCAAATATGGCCTTGCCATTTTACTTGTTTTCTATATATAATAAACTACAAATATATAATTAACGAACCATCAAACACCTGTTGCTGAGAAATATTTTATTAACAAAACACTAACGTTTTCAGTCACACCTAAAGGTGGCCTATTCTATTAGGTTGAAAACCTTAGTGTTTTGTTAATAAAATATTTCTCAGCAACAGGTGTTTGATGGTTCATTAATTGCTTAAAAAAGCTGAGTTTGATATTTGATTACAAATACACACACACACTTCACTATACATTGCATAATACAACCACCTTCCATCTGTGAGTGAAGTGTCCAGCTTACTATTGAGCACAGTCTCATCTTAAATTAACACAGAGTTTCTAGTACCATCTCTGAATCTTTATATCATAAATATAGAGCCATATGCAACTAACTATGAAACCGTAATGTTCAGAAAATAGAATTTGAATATTTGCATTTTATGTAATAATTTAGAATTTTATATATCTGCTTATTGTCACAAATAGAATGTCATAAATATAATAGAAATACTCTTATTGAAAAGCTGCAAAATTTATAGTTAGCCACTTATTGTTCTATACCCATGATACATAATTCCTTAGTGTATAAGAAACTGTGCAAAGCCACTAGATGGATTATGATTTATGGTTGATGGAAAGATCTCAGTCCCAGGATAGTGGGAAAATTAAAATAATTTTGAAATCTGTCAAAGAATCATTGAAAATCACATATGTTTTTAGTACAGGTAGCCCTCGGTTTACGCTGGTTCAATTTACGCCGATTCACAATTCGCGATTTTGCTGTGTAATTCCCCGATTTTCCCATGCCAGACTGATTTTCGTTTCAGTGTTGACGTATTTAACGAGCCGCGATATTGTACATTCGTTAAAACAAAGATTTTTATTGAATATATTTATTTTTTTCTGTTTAATATTATTGGGTATGTATACATTTGCATTAAATTAATATTAAAATACTAAACGTTTAGGTACCCACGAGTCAAGTTATCAAACTTAATAGTCCAATAAATGGCATCCGAATCCATAGCGCCATTGAATTTATCCCGTATCAGTTCATTCAGGAAAACACCTTACAACGCAGTAGCACTTCCGCCGATCAAAAACTATCGTTAGTGAGACAAATCTACTTCTCATTGGCCAGACGATATCTATCTATCCTTAATTTTCCCGCTCAAACTGACCTTACATATGCGCTACGGCGACTGGTGGTCACCCAATCAGTGTCTCCGCTTGTCCGTAGCTCTACGTCGGGTTAACGTATCCTTTCGACTATGGAAAGTTTGACGGATGAACTTTGTGAGTTAGACAATGATTGGAAGCGAAGTGCGAATGTAAAAAGAAGCATCGTCACATCCATTCGACCATATTCCGAAATTCTCAATGAAAGTAAACAAAAATGTAAACAATTAAAGATGGATACTTTTTCCGAAAAATGTAAGAGATCCGAAACTAAACTTTTTAATAAAAACATTTAACTTTATTTTATGATAAAATACATTTTAAAAATTAAATTTATTTGTACTTTGTATTATATTGTATTAATAAACAAAATTATTTGCGTATTTTTCACTTATGTGGAACCTAACCCTATACCTCAGTGTAAATATGGGTTCGTTTTACGCCGATT